GCGCGGGCGGGCCCCGAGGGTGGCACTCACTTGACGCTCCGCTTGACCCTTCCCTTCCGCTCCCTACAAATGAGCTGTCCGGCTTGCGGTTCCCTTGCTTCCCAGTGTGCCTCTGCCTCGTCCTTCTATCCCCCCGTCCCTCCCTCCCTCCGCCCCGCTCTTCCCCCCTCTCTTCTCCTCTCTCCCCAATTTCGCTCACGAGGCCGTATCTCTCTGGGCGCCGTGAGGACCTTGTAACGAGGGGGCGGCTGGACGGTCGGGGCGGGACGGTGCGGTGTGGGGCCCCCTGCCGGCCCTGGTCGGGCCCTGGCCTGCCGGACTGACGAGGACCCCTGCCCTCCATCCCGGTAACGAGGCTGTCTGAATGGTAATCAGGACAAAGTCTGCGCATTGTGGATATCAGTATTAATTTAGCCATATCGGTCTCCCGAGCCCTTTTACAAAAGAACACTATCTCGCCCCTCTCATCGTGTATCTCGTCCCAACGAATTGATGAATTGTTGTTGTTGTTTGAGTACTCCCGCCTCCGCCGTCTTCTTCTTCTTGGCGCGCGCTCTTTTGTCTTCGCCAGCGCGAGTGTTAAACTGATTACTTAGGGCCCTGATGAAGTAATGGACGTCTCTGCGGGCTGAAAGGTGGCGCCGGGGCCATTAAAAATATTTATAGGCGAAAAATGAAGCCCCCGCGCATCGCTCTTGCCATCCGTCTTGTTGTTGTTGTGGTTGTGGCGCTGGTCGGGGTTGGGGTGGTGGGGGTGTTGTTCGCAACCGCGCTGACCTACTCTGCGACGCGCGCGATCGCGGCGTGACAGGCTCTCTTCACTCCCTCCCTCCCACTTCCCTCTTTTACCCTCTTCAGACGCGGTGGGGCGTTTATTGGTTGTGATTAGACCGTTCGTGGTTAAGACGTGGTGTTGGTGGGGGGTCCGACGCCAGGGCTGGAGGGGGGAAGGGCTTTGCGTTCCGAGCTGTTGGTTTGTTGAAAGTTTACCCGTGCCACTGACGTGTGCTGTGTTTGCCTGGCAGCACCACCCGAGCGCCTTGCAGTGGGGATGGGGAAGTGCCTGGTAAAGGCCTTTGTTCGCTTCTATAGCAGTTTTGGCGCGCCGGTTGCATGGTGCTGGCTAGTTAAATGGCAGTGTGTTGGTGTCTGCTGCAAACCAATATACCGCTTTAATTTCGAGTTAATGTTTAGCTGCTCTTTTCGCGGAATATGCCATGCACTGCATGATATGCCCGGCTCTACCGTATCTTTCTGGGAACAAAATCACGAGCCGTAACCTACAAAATTATCGCTGCACAGAAAGGAAAGTCTTTCCTCAACAAATTTGTTCAATTTGACAAAACATTGGTTCTCTTAAATACATTTTTTTGTCACCTAAGTTAAAAATATGGCTTTCGTTTATGGTAAGGAAAAGTAAGTAAAATGTCTTTCCCTTCCCTTAAGGAAACGGTCTTCTGGGTGGCCCGCACCCCTGTCCCCCTCTGTGTGGCACCCCTTGGTGGACCTGGGAGGAGAGCTTGGCGTCCTCCACCGGGTGGTGGTGAGACCTCTATCCCCCAATTAGTGTTCTCGCTTAGTATATGTGTCGTTTCTTGAATGTTATTCTTTGTAAGCGCACGCGTATGTGTGTGCATGTGTGACGAGGGAAATAAAAAAATCGGGGGTGACGA